GTGCCTAAGACATTTGACTGCTAACCAGAAGGCTGGTGGTTCAAACCCACCAGCCACTCCTTGGAAGGAAGATTGGGCAATCTACTTCCGTAGAGATACCACCTCAGAAACCCAAGGAGGGGTCGCTATTTTTACTTTAGTTAAGTGGCTCCTAGCACATTTAAAATCCCGTATATGGTTTGCGTTCTATTTGTTTGGATGGTGCTAGTCTGGAACATCTGGGAGGTTCTAGAAAGGCAGGGGCCACACCGGATGCAGATCTCTATCCCCCAGACCACACAGGAGAGCAGGAGTGGGAATGCTGGCTCAGTGGCAGGAAGAATGAACCAGAACAGGGGCCAGCGAACAAGAGCCTGTGGGCCAAATCCGATCTGCCATCTGTTTTTATAAACAATCTTACTGAAATAAATAAAATAAAATTTACGTATTGCCTTTGGAGTCATTGTTGTTGTTGTTGGTCTTATGTGCCGTCGAGTCAAACTGACTCATAGCGACCCCTCCTTGGGTTTCCGAGGCAGTATCACTACGGAAGTAGGACTGCCCAACCTTCCTTCCGAGTCGGAGTCATTAGGTGGCACAAAAAGTCAAGCACTCAACTACTGAACTAAGGTTGATGGTTCAAACCCACCCAGAGACCCCTTGGAAGAAAGGCCTAACTATTGGCTTCCAAAATATCACAACTTCAAAAATCCTACAGAACAGTTCTAGTCTGCACAGATGGGGTCACACGGAGTCAGAATTGACTCTATGGCAATTGTTTAATGGTTCCTTTGCTGTTACAATGGAGGGTTGAGTAGTTATGATAGAAACCAGATGGCCTGCAAACCAAAAAAAACCAAAAAACCCATTGCCACTGAGTCAACTCTGACTTATATCAACCCAATAGGACAAAGTAGAACTGTCCCATAGGGTTTTCAAGGCTGTAAATCTTTACAGAAGCAGACTGCCACATCTTTCTCCTATGGAGTGCTTGGTGGGCTCAAACTGCCAAACTTCTGGTTAGCAGTCAAATGCTTTAGGCACTGCACCACTGAAAATTCAGATCTGTAGGATGGAAGGAAGATCATTTGAAATGGTAAATCAGTGGGCGAATATTTTTTTCTTTTCTTAAATTCTTTAAGACTGTACAATTGATTAAGTAAAAAATAATAACAACGTAAATTGAGGCTTTAAACATATGTATATGTAAAATATGTGTCAACAATAACATGAAGGGTAGGAGGGATGTAAATGTAATTATACTGATGGTAACTGATTCTCCTCACCACTCCTAAAGTTACTTGAGGTCTGACAATACAACCACATCATTTTTACAAAATCCTAGCAGGGTTTTTTTGAGAACTTGCAAGTTGATTCCAATTTTTATTGGAAATAAATGTCCAAGAGTAGCCAAGACACCAATGAAAGAAAGGGTGGAG